TGTGTCTGTCTTCCAGTGGATAATACCGGTAAATAAGAACCAATGAAAATTTGTGTAGGATTCAGCTTAACATACGAATTGATCTGCTAGTGTTTCTTAATGGTCAAGTATTAAGTTTCACTCCTGTCACTTCATCCATCCACTGCTCTTCAAATAATTTTTTGAAATTATGAAAGAGCGATGTGTACATGATTTTTGTCATAATAATTGTGATGAAGTGTAGGCAAAAGAAAAAGAGATTTCAGCTGCCCAAGGTTCTTACTTGAGGCTTGGTCACTCAATCAGTCAAGGACCTGTTAAGTCAGCTAACTAGCCATTTAACCAGTTATGTAGTCTTGATGTTGTCACTCTATCATTAAGCCAGACAGTCCAAAAGTCAGTCAATCAGTCACCCAGCTATCCCACCAACCTGTCAGTGTTTCTGTCACTCAGTCAGTCATTGAGTCAATCATCTGCCAGTTGAGTCAATCATCTGCCAGTTAAGTCAATAAGCAATCATTCACACAGACAGCTAGTTCACCAGTCAATGAGCTTGTTAGTTTAATCAGCCTTCCAGCCAGCCAGTCAATGTGTCCGTCACCCATTCCATCATCTACATATCCCATCAGTCAACAACTTGATCAATTTTACAGTTAGTCCATCAGTACCTCAGTCAATCAACCATCAAGTCATTCAGTGCATCAGTTACTAGGTCAGCAAGTTAGTTCAACAGTCAGTCACTTGGTCAGTCAGTATTCAGTCAGTAACTCACTTATTCAAGTCAGTTAAAAATGTCATTCCGTCCAGCAGTAAGTCACTTAGCCAGCCAATCAGTTCACTAGTTTTCAATGAGTCAGTAAGTCTATCACTCAATTAGTCAGTCAGACAAAAAATCAGTTCATTGGCCAGTGAGTCAGTAAGTGAATTATTCTGGCAGCCTTTCATTAACTAGTTGTTTGTTTGTTCAATCCGTCTGTCCATTATCCAGGTAGCCCCTCAATCAGTCGATCAATCAGTTAGTATATTAGTCAGTTAGTGACTCAGTCAATCAATAATCATCAGCTCAACATGGACTGTGAGTCAGATGTCTGCACCACAGTTGATCAGTCAGGCTCACCCAGTCTATTGGTCATTTAGAAAGTCAGTCATTCATTCACTCATTCAACCAGAGCATCAGTTTGTCATCTGATCAGTTAATCCAAAAGTCAGTCAGTCCATCAGCAATCCAATCAATCAGTAAGTCATATAGTTAAGCAGTCAGTTGGTCAGAGAGTCGGTCTCTTATTCCGTCACTCAGTCAGTCGATTACTCTGTAAGTCATGAAATCAGTCAGTCAGTCACTCATTCAGCCAGCCAATCAGTGTGTCAGTTACTCAGTCAACTAGTTAGTCACTGCGTCCGCCAGTCAGTCCACAGCTTCCTATCATTAGTCTTTTAGTAAGTCACTCAGTCAGTCATCCAGTCATCCAAACAGACTACACCTTGGTCCATCATTAGCTGCTCAGTCCGCTGGTCAGTGAAACAGTTAGTGGATCATTACATATAGCCAGCCTGTCAGTCCACTACAGTGTAGTTACCAGTGTAGGTTGGTTAGTATATAATTTAATTGATCACCACCACTCGTAATTAGTGAGTAAGTAAGCCATGTAGTCAGTTAACAAGCCAGTCTGTCAGTCATTTGATAAGTTAAATGGCCTGTACATCTCTCAGTCTCTCTGACTGTCCATTTGTCTGTCTGTCTGTTTGTATTCAGTCAGTTACTCAAAAGCCAGTCTATGTTAGTCAGTCAGTCAGTCAGTCCACCAATCTAGTCAGTCAGTCAGTCAGTCATCCAGCGACTCAGTCACAGTGTATGTCACTTGCAGAGTCACTCATTCATTTAGCCGCTCAGTGCACAAGTCAGTGCATCATTAAGTCCTAATTGCATGTAGCCAGCCTGTCAGTCCACTACAGTGTTGTAGTAGGGATTCCCATAGCAAGTAAATCTGCTTGTTTTATATCAAAGTTAAATCTATCTATAGCTCAAGCACTCCATAACAGTTTTCTTACCCTAACAAAGAAAGGACCAGCTTAAAATAAATGTCAATCAACTGTGTTGCACTGTTTGTAAACTGTACTCCTCATTCCACCTGAAAAAGAAACAGGATAATTTCCATTAGTTTTTTTTCCCATTGAGTAACAAACTGTCACAAGTTAAATTCATCGCATGCAAAATAATTCTCAAATGCATAAGAGAAACATGCATTTTAAATGCATGTCATTTTCACCACCTATACACATTTTGCCTGCAAAGTGAAAGTGTGAAACATGCACACAGGGTTCTCGCTAAGTCAAGGAGTAGATGGCCAGCTGCGTGGAGTAAACAGCTGACAATTCAAGAGCACCTTCCTGGGGTCAACGCTCATAGTCTCTCCCACATAAATCCTCCCCCATATAAATGCTCTCGAATGCTACTTTAAACATTTTTTTTAAAGACATCTGCAAAGCAAGACAGGGGTTGGTTGGCTAGGCAAACGTGAGTAGAGATGAGATGAGGGCTCAAACAGCAAGGAAATGTAAAAGCACAATTTGTTAAATGCAAAAACAAATTTAAATGAAGTTGTCTATTCATTAATTTTTTTTTAGAAGTGGCTTGTTTCAATGTTAATTACAGTGTACAATCATGTTGTTTTACATAGAAGTAAGCTGCTCAGAAATCAAAGTTAGTAGCTGATTTTTCAAGCCAGCAGCTGGCACTTAATGAGAACCCTGTGCAACATTTCCTTTCACCCTTACCACCCTAACATCAGTTTGCATATTCTCCATACTGTTCTCTGTAAATTTCCTTATGTGCTGACAAGAAGAAACTGTTTCACAATCAAGAGCTTCTTAAGTTGGTGATCATCATGATTTCCTTCATTGCAGCCTTACAATGTAATGCATGATTCAGAATTGTTATTATAAGGAGAAATTAGTTACTCTTGGAGGTCAAAAAGTCAACAAAAAAAAATTGTGAATACAATCAGCAATAAAATAGTTGATGAACTGCAGTGGCAGATTTGGAATCAAGTCAAAACTGGCTTTTCTGTCTGCTTATTGTGAGAAAAAAATTAGTCCTACAGAATTTTGGTATGCAACCTATATAATTTGCTTTAAATAAGTCTGGATCTGTAATCCTATGCATCTTCATTTCAAGCAATTCATGTCAGCTTCTCCCCTGAATATAAAATGTTCAATCCTAGGATAGATTGCTGAGGACGTCAATCTACTTTGTGCCTTTGTTTGTACATTGTACTCTTTGTCTCACCTATCACAAAAACTGTTAAATTAAAAAAATTTAATAGATTTCTCACTGAGGGGCAAAGCACTGTGGGTTAAGTATCAGTATTTGAGTTTTCTTATGTTTGTAAAGTGCTGCTTATGTCTGCAATAGCATTGCATAATAACAATGTTTATTGACAATTCAAACAAAAAGTGAATAGAAGAAAAAAAATTCTCTCTTTCTAGTTTATCTCCTAAAAAAAGGAATTAAAATATAAAATATACAGTATACATCTG